TTGTTAGTAAAGTGGTTGATTCATGTCCAAATTCCTGCTGTGTCTTACATCCCACCCAGATCTCCAAAAGCAATAACAGTCAGTTTAGTTCATATAGAAGGACCACAGCACAACAATGATGGGTATAAAGATTTATAGTCAGGATGAGATGAAAGGAAGGTTGGCTCTCATCTACTGAGAAAATGGAGGCCTTGAATTTCAGCATTGAGGTAAAATATTAAGGAAAAATGCGTTCTGCTCATTTTTCTGAGCGCGCATCCCAAAAGAAACTGATTCCATTAATCTGAGTGAAAGCGGGAAGTAACTCTGGAGAAAGAAGTGTTTGTGAAAGGAGAGATCTGAAAGAAACAGATGAATGGAAGGATAGTGACCAGATGAGGATGCTGCAAAATCTGAGAGAGAATCTGGATTGTTATGGGAAGAAGCTATGTCTGGTCTACAAATACCATCACATAGAATGGTGTGGCCTTGCAGGTGAAACAGACTGAGTGAAACTTTTATAGTATAAATTTATAGGATAAATTAATATATGAAATAGGAGAAATCTAGATTTTCCAACAACAAACAGTAAACAAAACAATTATGTTTACTCTTGGATATAGACCAATATCCAATCCACATGAAACTATTACATTTCATAGAGTACAGGCATGTCTTCAAGACATAAAACCTGGATGACTCTTAACTTTCTGCTCCTGAATGCAAAGAAACAGAAGTTATAGTCTTTGGACCAGAGTCTCTGAAAAGGAAGCTGATTACAGTCACTTCATTAAGGTGGAATTAAATTGATCTCTGATAATAAAGTAAAAAATCTTGGGTGTTAATTTTGATCAGGACATGTCATGTAAATCCCATATCAAAGAGGTTTCCAGTATTTCCTTCTCTCAGGTTATGTGGAGGTTTTTAGAGGACCCAATGACAGAGACAGAACTCTAATTCACCCAGCCACTACACGCCCCTCACTCCAACCTTCTTTGGGGAGAGCAGAAGTGACAGCCAGCAGGCCACCCAGGCCCCGGCGGCAGCCCCCGCCAAGACCACGGACCAGGCGGCTCATCTTCCTCCAGGCCCCAGACTCCGGGCAGCCGGGGAACAGGGGTGTGAGAAGACCCCGATCCTCCCTGCTCCTGCTCAGATGTGGTGTTGTTGCGTGTTGCTCTCAGATGTAATTAAAATTGGGAGTACCAAAAGGGGGTGTCCAGCACAGTCCACCCCCTTCCAGGAGACAGGCGGTGCCAGCGCACCCCCCCAATCGACAACCCAGAACCCTCAATGTCTAAATGTGAGAGGGGATGGGGGGATCCGACCGTGGTGAGGCCCATGAAATAAGCCCCCGCTGGGTGCCCTTGACCCCCACCCCCCCAGACAATGCCCTACATAGATGTAGATGTGTGTTGTGAAAATGTTGTAGATGGAGGTATCTAAAATTCAAAATGAAATTGGGGTGGGGGACGTCATCAGAAGGTGGGGCCCTCCGGTAACGACCCCCTCCCCAAAAACCTACATGTGTGGCAGTGTGATGGAGCAGGCAGAGGGAGGAATCCGGGGATGGGGAGCAAAGGACTGGGGTGATTACTGCACTCCCAGGGAGCCAGCTCCCCCACTGACTCCAATGGGCACCCCCGTTCCCCGAGATCCCCACCGGAGAGGGGGGGCCCCACCAGCTGCACCACCATAGCCTGAAGGCCAAGGACCGGCAGCAGGGCCCAAAAGCCAGCAGGCCACTGGGCGACACCGCCCCAATGGGGGTTAGAGACCCCGGGGCCAGAGCCGCCAGGCACCCTTCTTCAAGCGCCCCCCTGAGCCCACCAGGACCCAAGGACCCCCGAACCAGCCCCCGCGCCCCATAGGACTCACCCCACAGCCCCCCACTACACTAAGCGATGGAGCCGATCAAGGAGCCCAGGGAGATCGGTCTGATGGGGATGCAGATGCTGTCTAAGATTAATATGATCCAACAACAGATCTCTGTACTGATTGATGCTGAGTTTATCCTTACTCTTCCAATTCATGAGGATAGTTTTCTCTGCGATAAATAATGCACTGAAAGAAATTCTTTATCTTTAAGCAGTGATATATTTAATCTCCAGCTCTTGTTTTTGGGGGCTATTTTTTTTATTTATTAGGGTTAAAGTAACAGGAGCATTATCACTGAAAGCAATAGGATGGATTACAGCATCCGAGACATCAGACAGCTGTTGATTAACCCCTTGAACCCTACGGACCCACCGGCGGGTCCAGCTGCTACGTGACCTCGTAATTTTAACAAACCCCCAGTATTGATGTAAAAAACACATTCGGCACAGTTTGGTTACTTTTTTGGATAAATGTGCCAAAATGGCCTCTCCGTCTAAGAAATTTCTCACTAATACCATTCTAAAATATATATGATTCATCTGATTGAGTCCAAATTTGTTATATTTTTACACATTTAGATTTAAAAGTCTGTACTACTTTTTTGTGCTATAAATAATATTTTGGTAGTGTTCTGCAATGTTTATTTCAAAGAAAATTTTGGCGAGGTTCAAAAAATGCAAAATATTTTGTATTTTGTCCCTATATTTCAGGCAGGGTCAAAGCTACAATGGTGCTGACACCAGAAAACCATTCTATGACATCTTACCTTTACAGAGGTACCAAAAGTTTCTTCTTAAATCTAATAGCTGTGAGGCTATAAGTGATTTACTGTTGTGTGTTTTTGTCAGGCAGAAATTTATTTATACCCCCTTAGGGTGTAAGAGGTTAAGAAATAGTCCAAACGAGAGTAGGAATGATGGACATTAGAAAAGAAAGCGTATTCCTTACTGTTAGGATGAAGAGATCGCCATGCATCGCAAAGACCAGAATCGCTCATGTATTGTTTGACTATATTTATTGATTGCCAACTGCGCTGAGTCCCTGTTGTATTCAACCTGACTATTTCTCCATTTATACCAAAGTTGAGGTCACCTCTAATAATTAGAGAACAGTCCCTGTTAGGGATGGGAATCGAAAACCGGTTCCTGTTAAGAACCGGTTCCGTATTTTCCGATTCCATGGCATCGTTTGGCAGCTCGCTGAATGATTCTTTTTTCGATTCCCGCAGCACCAGAGCCAAGAGCGCCGGCTCTGGGGAGCACGACTTACGTCACGTTTTTTATGTAAGTTACGTAAGTTACGCAAGTTACGCAAGTTGGAAGAACTATTCGAGGAGGAAGACAACGAGCTGCGGTCACTTTGTGAATCAAAGCCCCGTCTTCCCTTAGCCCAGAGGGTAGATCAGGAAATCCAGCTCTATAAAAGCTTGCCCTCCATCCCCTGCAGGGATAGCGCCAAACTGGTGGTGGAACAAGCAAGATACGCTGCCCTTGCTATCTGGACTGGTGTTCAGGCTTCCTCCACCCCATCTGAGAGGGTGTTCTCCACGGCTGGAGACACCTTAAGCCCTGAAAGATCCCGTATCCTTCCAGAAAAAGCAGATATGCTCATCTTTCTGCAAAAGAACTGTTAATTTTCCCTACTACTGTTTTATAATTTGTATTTTTTGTTATTTAAAATAGGTTATACCATCATTTGTTATTAGACATTGTTGGTTATTAAGTTTGTTCTTGTATTCATTTTTCATTTAAACACAGATGTTACTCCAGTTTCACATTTCCTGTGGACATCTTGATCTTGTTGAGTTTGTAAGATTGTGCAATAGTTAAGTAAACAAAGTTGATGCTGATAATCAAACTGTTTGTTCTCCTTTTCCCCCCAAATTGGAATCGAAAAAAGAATCGATAAAGAATCGAACCGTTTCATAGAATCGAAAAGGGAATCAGAATCGTGAAAATCTTTTCAATTCCCAACCCTAGTCCCTGTGCTTTGAAAGTGCATGAAAAAGGTTTGTGGATGAATGGGGGGTCATCAACATTTGGACCATATATGCTGACAATACATAACTTTTGGTTATGAATAGATATTTAAATAATGATGAATCTGCCTTCAGGATCTATAATTTTATCTAATAAAGTAAAACTGATGTTTTTGTGGATTAAAATTGCTCCTCCTTTCTGTCTAGAGTTATAGCAGGCTGCAAACACATCAGGGAACTCAGGGGAGTTAAGATCACTTATAGATGCTGCTGATTTATGGGTTTCTTGCAATAAGACAACATCTGCATTTAATCTTTTAAGCTGGTTAAAAATCTTAAACCGTTTCTCTCTGGTGCCAGCTCCTTGCACATTCCATGTCACAAACCTTACATTCACTATAGGTGTGAGTGAAAAGATGAATAGTACATGCCTCTGAATAAATAGTTATACCTAGACCCAGGTAGCATCAAACCGTGTGCTTGTGATTGTGTGGACCACAGGGTAGAAGCAGACGAATAAGGAAAAGGAAGACAGAGAATTAAGAGAGTGCATTGAGTCAGAAAAGGTGAAAGAAGAAGAACCCCAGCCCATGCTTCCTGTACCCAGCGGTGACTAATAGCCATACCGTGCCAGCGTGCTCTAGAGCTGTGCGTATATTTCATTTATCACTGTGAAATGTTCTATTTACTTTAATCAAGTGTCACATGCTTTAAATCCACCTGTTGTGCATCTAATAAAGCCAAGGAGTTATTGTCCATTTTTGCAGCAACAGAACTGCTGTCTGACACAGAATATTTTGTTGTATAAAAGAAGAAAAAGGTTTTTGTTGATAAAATGTAGTATACTTCAGAATTAAATATTATTTTGAGATGCTAATGTTGGTTACACAAATCTAAACACTCTCCTGCTTCTTTACAGAGTGCAATCAGCAGCTTTCTCCTGTTATTTAGTTTTTTTTAATTGGGATTAGTTTTGTAGCATAATCTTAATTATAGTAACCATGGTATTAAAGCGTGAATAAAATTTTACTTTCCTGCTCTAAGCATGCATATATGCGGGCTACAAAACATCCAATCAGGAAGAGAGAAGGCGGAACTTAAGACAGAACAACCAATGAGAGTGGAGTTAAACAACACAGCACAGTTACCTGTCTGTTGAGCAGGAGGAAGAGGAGCTGAGAGCTTCAGGGAGGAGCTGAGCTGTTACTGAACTATAGAAGAGACACAAACTTCCACATTCAACACAGTTCAAACATTAACTCTGATCATCATGCTGTCTTTGCTCACATCTGGATTTACTCTGCTGGTTCTGCTTATAGGAACAGGTTAGTTGGAGTCTTTCAGAGAACTATTTGATCCTTGTTGTTCTTCATTTATTTTATTTTCTTCCTTCAGGTGTAAACTGTCAACAACTCACTGCAGCAAAGACTGAAGAGTTCAATATAGAAGGCAGCTCTGTTACTCTGTCCTACAGTTACTCCAATAAGATAACTGCTACTGATCATTTCTTCTGGTATCGACAGTATCCTGGAAATCCTCCAGAGTTCATCATGTACATCTCAGGTTACAACAGTTCAAGATCAGCAGATAATCTGAAATCAGCATCAAGATTCTCCACTAAACTGAGAGAAGAGAAACACCTGGACCTGCTGATCTCCTCTGCTGCAGTGACAGACTCTGCTGTGTACTACTGTGCTGTGAGGCCCACAGTGACAGGAAACACCAGAACTCTGTACAAGAACCTGCAATACTCCACTACATCCACTAGAGGGCCTCACACACTGTTCCTCCTCTATGGTTTGTTAGGATTCAGTCTGATTGTTTGTGCAGCTGAGAATAAAGCAGACATCAGAGTGTTTGCTGCATCATTGAACTCTTCATGATGAGAAGGTTTGGATCATAAAGGAGGGATGATGGAGGCTCCAGGTTCTAAGTGCAGCCTCTGCAGGACATCAGCACCATGGACAGAGTGCTATTTTGCAAATTTCTATCTCCAATAAGGCCCTGGTGTCAGGGTGTCAGAATTTTCTCCACAGGCTAAAAACTTATAATACATTTAAAGGCATAGTACACCCAAAACATGATTAGCCTTCATTTTCTACTCACCCCCATGCTGAACAACACTCTGGAGTACTTTTTTGATATCTCAAATGCATCTGGAGATCTGGGAGCCTTCTTGCTGTCTGCTGACATTCAAATAATGGAGGTCTATGGCGCCCGAGGCAGAAAGGTCCATAAAAGTCCACAAAAAACGTGTCAATATTCCTCCATACAGCTCGTCCAATGTATTCCAAGTGTCCTGATTGGGTAGCGTCCATAATTTACTCAAAACGAAGTCATTTAGAATGTTTTTAGAGCATAAACATTAGTTTATAGGATTTCCTAAAAGCGCGCGCCTGCGAGTTCACGAGTCTACGGAAACCGCGGCGGACGAAACCAGGTGAAAGTGCGCATGCAAGCACCGGAAACATTAAATGTTTTGAATGTTGGGATGTTGGGCATTAAAGGGCCGCTTGTCCGCATAAAAACCCGACAGAGCAGGCTAAAACGAATCCAACTGTTGGAGCATTGATGAGTGCTGGTTCTCCTCCCGCTGCGGAGGAGGGGGTGGCTCCCCCGGTAACTGTCTATGATGCTGAAAAGGGAAGCAGCGCTATCGATAGACAGCCTATGAGGGACGAAATAGAAACCTGGAAATAATGTTCTGAAAGAGTCTTCGAACTGTGGTCATCTTGAGAAAGAAACAGATCAGACAGCTAATTCAATCTTTGTTGCTGCTGTTTCAGTGTTGCTGCCTCCAGGTGAGGGGGCGTCCCAGCCTGCCCCTGAAGCTCCACAGGTAGATGATATGGAGTATGACAGTGAGTCAGACACCATTTAAATCGCAGATTCCCAAATATACAGTGGTGACTTTTACAATATAGAAGAAAGCAATGTTTTCCTTCATGAAATGTTTGAAAAAAAACATGTTAAAGTTACTGATTATTTTCCTGATGTTGAAAAATGTATCAAGAAGGCACAAATGGTACAGAAAATAGTTGGCTTTGAAATGCTTGATGAAAAGAAACTATTCTGTTTAAAAAAGCATATGACAAACATATAGAGAAAGTTATTAGCAAATAAAGGAAAAAGGGTAAATCCAGAAGTAAGGTTATGATTATAGAACACTGGGTGGTCTTTTCTTTAGTGTCTTTGTCTGTCCTTCCTTTCTTTTTCACCTTTATGCATAATGTTGTGTTTTTACAGGAGACACATACCAATCATGAAAACGAGATAGAATGAGGTATTGGAAAGGGAATTATTTTTTGTCTCACTCCAGTCTGTGTGGTCTGTGTGTTTGTCTTCCTTCCTCCACCAGGCGGCGCCTGGTTCTGATTCTCCTCCTCACACACCTGCAAGGGGTTACCTCGTTAATGGAGTGTTTGCCATTTTTGGGTACTCTAGCCAAGATGAGTTTTGCTGAGTCAAACTGAGTTTTTTTCAACCTGAGTCTTAACATTGCTTTTTGTCTTTGCCTCTCGGCAGGAAGTCATCCTGCAAACTGGATTTTTCGGACCTTCTCTCCCTGGAAGGATGAACTGAGCTTCAAACTGAGCTGAGAAAACAAACCGGAGGTTTGGATCCACTTTTCCCCGAGGAAACGTTTTAGCTTCACACTGAGCAAGGGATTCATCTGCACAACAGTCCGTTCAAGTACCGCAGGAAATCTGAGTGGCAGTCAGTCTTTCACCGTTCATCTACAAGCAACCGCATTCTGGGTAACCCTGTCCGCCCTCCTTCGTATGAGACCCCTGAACACATTCCTCACCTACAGGAGTCTAAGAGTCAACCTAATCTCTGGAAACGTGAGTCTGCCAACTTTTTCCCCTCTTCAAGTTCGAGAGTCAATTCTCCCACTGAACCTGAACTAACCACAGTGTCATCTCCTTACCTTTCAGTTCCGGTTGAGCAGTGTTCAGAGCAACACTGGAATCTCCATCAAACTTCTCAATAAACATGTTAAAACTTTTTCCCTTGTCTCTCTGGACTGCTTTATCTGCATGTGGGTCTGAGCTCTTGATAAAACAATGACAAGTTCATTTGGTGTGGCTATTTTATTTTCACCATGATTGATTTATAGACACAGGTTGCTTTTAAATTTCATTTCTGGAATGGCAAAATTTGCAATATGGATATAAAGGAAGAAGAAAATTAATGGTCATCAAACGGAAGATGCTTCTGTGTTATTTAAGAGACTGGTCTTTGCTCGGGTTCGAGTAGAATTTGAGTTTTTTAAGTTGACAAAGAGCATAGATGTTTTTGTAAGTAAATGGGGCATTAATTGTGTTTTGTGTCCGGTGGATGAAGAATCTCTAGTTTTTGCTTTTTGATGTTTTTATTTTAACTTAATTTTGTTTTTATTGATTGCTAGATTGTGTAATAAAGGCAATTTAAAACTCAAACTCTTTCTTTCTTTTTTATTTCTTTCTTTATGCATCTATATATTTTAAATACACCAGTAAATTTCAAAATGTCCAAACAAATAATTAAAAAATCCTTAAAAATGAAGAAATAAAATAAACATATTAATTTGAAAAAGAAATGTGTGTTAAAATGTATTCATTTATTTAGACAACAACATTTGTTAGGTGCAGCACTGCTGACGCAAGTTCATTTTCTGCAATAATGAGAATATCATCACTTTCACCAGTGTATTTTCAGTGCTATGAGAAGCTCTAATAGGTGACTGAAACTCTTCAAACAGGTCATTATGCTGTAAGTCCTCAGCCATTTGTTCAGCAAAAATGTCTGTGGTAGCCTGTGGTATTGATATTTTTATTTTGTGTTTTATCTAAAATCAGGGCAGAAATCAAAGAGAAAAATCCCTTGAATAATTTGGTTGGTATTAGGTCTAATTTAAATTTCATTTTCAGATGGAGAAAATATATATTTATAAACTGCAATGCCATAAGCATTTATCTTTTCTTATGCTATGGTGTCTAATTTGTTAAGTGAGACTGTTCCCATCAGTAGGAGCTTTAACTATTACATCAAACTTCTAAAACATTTAGGTTGTTTTCAAAGTAGGATGATGAAACCAAACCTGAAGCTTCTGATCTAGTTAATTCCAATGCTTCATCTATTAGACTAGGGTCAGGACTCTGCTGTCCAGTCAGGTTTCTATGTCCCAAACTTTACCTACCCGCAGCTGTGGAATGGGACTGAGGCTACGTTCACACTGCAGGCCTTGATGCTCAATTCTGATTTTTGTGAAATCTGTTTTTTTTTTTGCGTTGTTGTTCACATTTCCAAATATTTGCGACTTGTATGTGATCTCCTGTGTGAAATGAATTCATACAAAGCAAATGTCCCACATGTGCAGTAGAGGACGCCATGACATCACAAGCCAGTGTGCTCTGTGTTTAAGTAAACATGGATGGCAGCGCCGGAGCGCATCTAGCGATCTTTTCAATATAGTTAAACAAAAACACTGCTCTCCGCATCATGTCTGCCATGGTTGTTGTTTTTCTTGCCGCTTCTTCATAGCAAGACCCAGAACAGTGACCTTTGTCAGGTATTAATTGCGTTCAGGTCAGATGAATGTGACCTGGCTGTTTAGACACAGGTCACATTTGAAAAGATCGATTCTGAACACTGCAATAACAGAATGGTCAGAAATTCACATTTGTCATTTCTCTGTATCAAAATAAGTAGATTTCTACCAGAAAGCAGAAAAAGAAATCAGTGGGTCTGTTTAGCAGGAAGAGGGGTGAGTTCTAGGGAGGAGCTGAGCTGTTACTGAACTATAGAAGAGACACAAACTTCCACATTCAATACAGTTCAAACATTAACTCTGATCATCATGGACTATTATGGACTTTCTCTGCTTGTTGCCACACTTCTGACAGGTCAGATTCAATCTAGTTGCTTTAAGCTAGTTAAACTGTATTCAAACCTTACATTGAAAATATCTGTAACTTAATTATTATTCTTTTTTTCCTTTAGGTATCAAATGTAATCAACTTACACCTCATAAGAAGGAGGTCTTTGGTGTGGATAAAAGCTCTGTTGTTTTAAGCTACAATTTTTCAAGGCCAGCTTCAAATGATTATTTCTTCTGGTATCGGCAGAATCCTGGAAAAGGACTAGAGTTTTTGGTCTCTCACACTGGAACAGGAGGAGCATTATCTCAGCCAGTTGCTGGTTTGTCTTTTAAAGTGAGTGATGATAAAATCCAGATGGACCTGCTGATCTCCTCTGCTGCAATGGCAGACTCTGCTGTGTACTACTGTGCTGTGAAGCCCACAGTGACAGGAAACACCAGAACTCTGTACAAGAACCTGCAATACTCCACAACATCCACTAGAGGGCCTCACACACTTTTAAACCTTTTTTTCAAAGGAAAGATGGCAAATACAGAAGTTAGTATTCATGTGTTATATTAAGAAAACAAATGAAAGTGCAAATCGACCTAAAATCATGGTGAAACAGATAATTCTGCACATATTGCAAATACATTCACCACAACTTCAATTCAAAATGTTAGAATGTATTAACAAAAATCATTTAAGACAGACATGTTTCAGTTAAAAATGCTTGATCAAACCATTAGAGTTAACCAAATAAAGCCATTGTGTACAAAATAAAAAGGAATAAAAAATGCTTGAATACCGTATTCTATAAAATGGCGCAAAACCAAGAATATATTACCATGGCTACTAATGCTACTTTAATGTATCACTTTTAAGAAATTCACCTTTACACTTGTTGAAAACATTTTCACTATATTTCATCATTGAATATGAAATATTTATGTTATTTTTTTGGAAGAAATCTAAACAAACTTTAGTAAATTCTGTGGTTGGAATATTACAAAATCTTCTACAGATTGAGTTAAACACTG